GATGGAGTTTTCCGGTTTTCCCTCATTTATGATATCATCGCATCGTTCAAAATTTCTTTGAAGTATATCATGAATTTTCTATGGATCCGATAAGTTTCTTCTTTTTTTCGCAGCGACATTTTATCAATCCGTCTTACAAGAAAGCAAGATGAACTATGCAATCACTTTCAATTGCAGCTAGAGTTTTGTGTTAATGTATAGCTTGCAAGCGATTTTATCTAGGATTGGTGAACGTACGTAAACTGTTTGAAAATGGAAATTGAACCAAGCAATGTATTCTTTCAGGTTTCAACAAGTATCGCATTGGCTTTGATTTTACGCTTTTTCACAGCACAATCAAAAAAATTTTGTAGTTCATTTTCAGATGTTCTTACTATCAACAATTTGTTGTGTAAGCGAGTAGATTGAATCATTAGATTACAATGAGTAACCATTTGCTACATATTTTCAGTCGCCAGACACGTGACTGATTAGAAAGCAAAACACCCCGTCTGGCAAAGTAGCACAACATCTTTTTCGAACGAAATATTTCGAACCATACATTCATTACGATATATATATATATAATAACGTAATAAATTCTTTAATAGTTTCAACTTTTTTGATGTAACACGCTCTCCGCGCTGTTCCTAATGCAGAAATCGATCAATTCGCATGAAAGCGCAAAGCAAGAAGCGTTGCAAACGCTAATTCTCATGCTAGTTGCATCAAATATATTACCTACGATGCTTACTTATCAGATGTCGTGCATATGTTTTCAACTGCTTTTTTTAACAAATTTCGAGCATTTTAGATTCTTTGTACGTGCGATGTCTGGTGGTTTCGGTGATGGTGTTGGAAAAGTAAGTTTCTCACAGCTTCTTTGAGCATTCTTCATTTTTTGAAAATAATTCAAGTTCACATATTGTACATTGTGATTTTTTACGAATGTTAACAAATGAAGTATAGGGAGGCGGCAGTGGTGGTTCTATCCGTGATGCTGGTGGTGCATTCGGAAAAATGGAAGCAGCTCGAGAGGACGAGTACTTTTACAAGAAGGTTTGTCAACTGAGCTCAGGAATCCGGTGAAATAATTGTTTAATATTCTATTTCAGCAAAAGGAACAACTTGAAGAACTGAGAGCACATTTACAGCAGGAAATTGAGCACCACGAAAAGCAAGTCGAGAATCACAAAGCAGTATGTTTACGATTGTAGAGTTTCTTATGATCTTCTTTTTCTCTGCTTCCTTGGCATGCTGGCAAACTTCTCAACGTGTATATTTCAGATCCTCGAAAGACATCGCCAACGTGTAAAAGAAGTTGAAGAATCTCAGAAGAAAGCTTTGTAAACAAACTACTCGTTGAAATTAGGATCTTTGTATGATACTAATCTTTCGGTTTGTTTTATTTTTCCCGTTCTGAAATATTCATGTTGACCTTCTATCCGGGAGTAGGATAGTACTGGTATTGTAATAAATTTTGAGTCTGTGCCATCTCTCATGTTTCAGCTTGTGCCTTTGTGAACTTCCTCCAGGACTGTCTCACATGCTTGGGGATGCGTGATGCGAATGTGCTGCCTAATGTGCCCACTGTTTGATCATTATTGATTTTTTATGTCCTCATCTCGATTTTGAAGGGTTTAGTTGAGCTTCGAGTTCCGCTTAGATGGACTTCGTTCCTCCAACAATTACGGTAGGTGTGAAGTTGTAGGCGACTTTGGTA